ATTATGCTTACATGCAAGTACTTCTAATACCAAAAAAAATGTCTTTAGTTTAATTTGGAATTGTCCACAGTTCCCTTTTTCGTATTTGAGAATAAGAGGAAATACATAATAGTATGAACAGTTTGACAGTCTTGGTAAGCATGAAGATTCACAATTCGCACTAGCTGCCATCCTGAAATTCTACACACAACCCTCACTTGAATGAGAGCTTTTCTTGAGCCAAGGGAACTTTTTGCTCCTCTTGATTTCAATGGAAAAGTTGGCAATTCTTGTCCAGTAGAGCACTTAGCAGGAATGCAAAGACAAAGTCTTTGACTGTAGAAATGTAGTTTCTGCAAAATAGATATGTGGGCAGATATGTGGACAGATGCCTTTTTCATCAGAATACGTGATCTGAACAGCTATTCTCAAGAGTTTGCTTTTGTTAACAGTCTTAATATTCATCCCTCAGACCAACTCAACTTGCAACCTTAATTCTTCTCTCCTGGAAAGTTGTTTCCAATTCTTTTTACAGGTTAAACTGGAAGCCTCAAGCATGAGGGCTGCTGGGAACCCCTTTGGAGCTCTCATACCAGAACCAAAATCTAGTTAGAAGGTGGGGTTGTGAGGAGACACTGTGATTCTGCTTTCTGACAGAGAAAACATCCATTTCATGCTATTATTTGACAGATTTTTCTATACTTAGCTGAAGAGCAATGTAAATGTTTTCTGTGGGTTTCGCACATTAAGCTTAATGAGGGTCTTCTCCCTCTGAGCAATAAACTCTGTTTCAACAAACAAACAAACCAAAAAAGTGGCAGTGGAAGTGCCATTCCAGTTTCAGCACACTTGACATCTTTATGAAAAAACACTAAAATAAAGTCCTTAAAATTTGTCCAGTGTTTATAAACTGGGATTCCTAAAGCAAGCTACAATAGGATTTGTGGGTGTTGGATACACTTAAAAATCAGCATGGTCATTTAAATATGTATGACTATGTTTAATCACTTGTGGTAACAAAATAAGGTCTAATTTTATACACTTGCATGCTCTTACATACTCAGATATAGTCCTTGAGTAATCCCAGTGGATACTATTTAACTTAAAAATAGTATTCAGCCCTATAATTTCTCTGGTAGTTGAACACCCAGTGCCACACTATACCCTACATGGTCCTTTAACTTATTTTCCTAATTAAAGTTTGTGAGGCACTAAACAGTTGTTGTTTAGGATGGCTGTAAATAGCATTTGTATCTGTAGCAGCAGAGAATGAGTGATCTCTAAATTAGTGATAGAATAGGGTGCATAATATCAGCCAGGGACTTTGCTGATATGCAAGCTTCTACCTGCTGTAGACATGCAACTGAGTCTTGAAAATGTTTGATCTTTTCACATCACCTCAGAAAGTAATCAGCCACATCCAAAAGCCTATTACATTTTTGCTCAGTGTGTTTTGAATTATTACTGATGTCAAGAGTTGAGCCCATTATCAATCCCACAGCAAGCCTTGTATTTCTTGGTCATTTCTGATCTTGTTACTCTAGTTCAGAGCTTGTGAGCCATCATTCTCTTTCTGCTTTCTGACTTACCCAAGTTCAGTGGGAGAGCTGTAATTTGCACGTTTCACAAAAGGAGCCTATTGAACTGAAACTTACTTTGATGAAAAAGTTGGTGGAGTGCACTAGATAGGAGCACAGACTGAAATTAAACCTTCAGTGAGAACACTCTGAAACATTTAAATTCAGGATGTGGGTCAAACCTGAGTTTTCCCAAAATTTCACTGTTTGAATTTGCTGTAAATAATGATGGGTTTGCTGTAAATTTCACATTGTGAGTTAGGCATATCTGTGAGTGTTTCAATATTAAAACCAATTTACACAAACAGGAAAGGTATAATTAAAATTAAATTGATACAAAATTTGTCACTTTTTAACACAACCCTGTCCACTGGGGTTTTGTGAATGTGATTGCAAGTTTTTTATGCTTTTTCCAATGATCTGAAGTATTTTTATGGTAATGATTATTCCAGTTCACATTGTAATGACTTGATGACGTGTTTCCTGGTTCTCATCCTGTAGGATATGATGATTCTTCCTTAGATAAGAATTTTCAAATATTTATTTTGTAACACTGTGCCACAGTATTAAAGAAGAGGAGAGATTGATCTGTAAGGGTAAAAGAAATTTTTTCTACAAGTCTAACAGTTTTAGCTGAACTGTTAACTATCTTGCCAGAAAAAGTGTTATCATCAATCATTTCTTCTCTCACTTCTGCTTTTATTAATGTAATATATGTATTCCTATACATACAAGTTTCAATTTATCGTTAGAGGAAAACAGAAATTCAATAACACCTTGCTTTAAACGAACATAGCTTATTTGTTTGAATTAGGCCCAGGAGAAACAGCATGCCAATCATGTTAGTGCACCTTTACACTTGGAGTCCATTATAGATAATTTAAGGAAATGTTAATAGCATAATTGAAGATACATCATCTATGGAGAAGGAATAATCTTCATTACTGAGTAGAAATAAGACACAGCCACTCCCTTAAGCTTGCAGTGTTTCTTGCTGTCTTTTACTAGTATTAACATTACTGTATTACCTTATTATCATCCTAAATGTCTTTGTCATCACCCAGAGGCTGCAACATTCTTATAGCTTATTTTATGCTCATATTATGCTGAGGTAAATCTTAATGGTCCTTTTTAAGCTCCTTTCCTTAGATACCTTTTTCAGAATGTCATTGTTTACTACTTCGTATATTTCTCTATTTTCTTAAAACAGGCTATATAAACCAAAAAATTTCTCCTTCCTAAGAGTTCTGGGGATCTATTTTTGTGTGCTTTGGCTGTACAAATCCGCTGCCTCCTAATATAGTGCTGGAAAATGATTATCAGATTACCTTTAATTTTGGTTGATGCATTTCTGTCACGCATAAGGGATAATCACTATCATAGTTTTGTTTTCCAACCTTGCTTCTACTGTTTTTACTTCTTCTCTCAAAGGCAGCACATTGCCAGAAGGGTTAAATACTTTACATTGCAGAGTTACGTATGATTAAGGGTGTTTCATTGTTTATTTTAGGCTCAGCCATGAATTTCATCCAGGCTGTCTGCACTTAATGCAAACTTTTTTTGCAACAAAAGCAATTCTAGAGGGTCAATTCAGGCTGCATATTAAAATTAGTGCTAGGGATGGGATGAATGTGCTGTAAAATTCTGCTTGCAAAGCTGTCTGTTTTTCTTCAAGGCAAGCATGAAACATGAACATTATATTCTCAGGTCATCATCACAGAAAAATATATTTTCCTAAATCCTCTTGCTCCTTTGGATCACAGAGCAATAAAGACAGCACTGTATCTTTCTTTGATTTTCTTATTCAAAAAGGGTGGAGCATTTCTGCATGCTTTGCCATTCAAACATTCCTGGTGGTTTTATTTTCAACTCAAAATTTTTAAATTAGTAACAGATGTGCTGATTCTTTTGACTGAAACAGAGGGCAAATTTTTCTACTATATTTTGAATCAAGTTTTTTAAACTTTTACTGATTATTGAACCCTGAGTGCTAGTTTTTCTTACCAGCCTTCACTGTAAACAGTGTCATGCACCACAGAAATCTCACTGAAGTCAGTGGGGAGTACTCCTGATATTACAAGTATGATGAGGGATGGCAGAACATATTTGGAGTAACAATAAAATGCAGTTTACAGCTCTAGACCCCAGTAGGGTGTAGCATCCCAGTGTTGCATATCCCAAACTGTTTCGCTATGTTTTGTTAATGTGTCATCCTCACTTATTGCAAAATTGCAAAGCAGGTAGCCCAGAAAATAATTGATATACATGCACACATATGTTATTGGTAATGCTGATCCATTGGCACAAAACGTATAGAAAACTCTTGGGCAGCAGAACTCCCGGGAAACTTTATAGCTCTTGTGCTCAATGGATATGAGGGGTCTTGATAGCTCTGAAGCAGGAAGGAAGTAAAGAAGAAAGACTCTAGAGGGGAAAAAAAACCCTAAGGATTATCAAATTACAATTTAAGGAATGTCATTTTGAGGTTTAGCTTCAAACCATGAGGTTGAATTAGAGGTGGAGCTATTTTGCATTTTTCACAGTTTTAGTGTGAAATTCCTTGCCCTTTCTGCTCCTGAACTATCTTCATTACTGTGATTTATTTAAGTGGAAGTCTCATCCTTTCTCCTTGCTTTTTTATTGACATATGTGTACTCGTGATAACACAGATGATGGTGTAATCTTTCATTCTCCTTAAGCGTTTGAATTTTTTTGTTAAGGATAATACAGATGCAGGATGACTTACTTGGATCTGTAGATCATCTAACACTGAGAACTAATAAGTAATACAGACTGTGATGCCTTTCTGTAGTGATTTTTTTTAACAGATTTGGGGGCCAAATAGGTCTTGACCTTCTGACACACAAAAGGAAACAAACATCATGTTGAAAATGTAAAAGGCAAGAACAAACCTTTTTTGTAGGTGTAATACCTGCTTCATTTAAAAGGGGATGAAAAACATTCACTAAGAGGGATGAAACACACATAATTAAAAGAAGTCTGAATTTTTTTCTTCCAAGAATACTGATAATATTCAAGGTATGTTTAGGGGCCAATAAGAAACACGGATGAAAGACATAGAGGCACACTGCAGTTTGCTCTTGTGAAAATACCTCTGCCGAGCACTTAAGAATATTTCACACATTTTAAATCTTTGAAATTTTGCTTATGAACATTTTAAGTTGTCTTGAGAAATTATACAGCCCAAACATTCAGACTTTAGAAAAATGAAATGAAACTAAATTGATTTGTCAGATAAGAGAAAACTTTTGTCAAAAATGCTTTCCCATTGGTGGAACACTGATCTTGAGCTTCTGGGTGCTTTAAGACCGCTGGGCTGACTTGCTGTATTTGTCTAAATAGGAGTTGAATAAATGCAAAATGTCTGTCTTTTAATGACTCTAAAGTAGTTTCCCCCCCTTTTTTTTTCTTGTCTTGGGGCAGGAGGAAGGATGTCACTTGGATGTCAGGAAGCTTTTGAAGTTTTCAAGCAGGAGCATGCTGACAGTATAACTATTGAGGACAACAAACAGCTTTTAAAACAGAGGTGAGTGTCACAGCAAGATATAGCTGGAGGCAGACATGTAAAGGGTTCATTATGACTCTGGGTAGGAATGGTTAATTTTACACCAGACATCCCAGGCTTCAATTGAGATCTTGGTACAGAAACTTTGCCATTTCTTACTGGGGATATTTTGTATTCAGAAGGCACTGAGTGGGTGACAGAATAAGAATCTGCATGAATATGAAAGTAGCATGAGTAATCTTAGTGCATCTTTCCTCCAGTTTTATTCTTCTTATCTTCATAGCCATGCTGAAGCAATGTGGTAAATGGCATTCATGATCATGAATTATCTGGAGGAAGTAGGATCCATGTGACTGAATCAGTTACTGTAATTTCCATTGTCAAAAATACTTTACTGGCTTCAGCACTGAGTTGGACAGTAAGCTAGGAGATGTTTAACATATGCTGTCTGTTGTTCCTAACTTGTTTGCCAAGTGATTTTAGCTTTTCTCTGCCAGTTTTGCCCTCGAAAACAGAAATAATACTTTCCTCCTCCACATTTATTGTTAATGCTGGCAATACACTTCAAACCATTCCAGTGAAGATGGTGAGCATGGCAAAACATTGAAAACATGAATTTTCATAAAGTGGATTTTAAACATCTCAGAAATTAAACCATCAGCACTTGTCCATGTTGATTGGATAGTAGCACTGTTTCAGTGTCAGTTTTTCAAGTGTTAACCCTCCAGTGTACTGCAAGAGAAATACAAGGTTTTGAGATTGGACATGCCAAAAGCAGATCTCTCAATCTACCCTTGTAACTAACATTTACCATAACAGGTTTTGGGGGGCTTTCCTGTTTCCTGTTTCCTTTTTCCTGTTTCCTGTTTCCTGCTTTGTGTTTCCTGTTTCCTGCTTCGTGTTTCCTTGGGTTTCTTCCTTCTCCAGGTTTCTTAGCAACACAATTTTCCCACTTAATAGGCACAAAAGACATTGTTTTCCTGGTGACTCAGTCTTATATTCATTTACTTCAGTGAGATTGAGGCAAAAATTGATCTTCACATCTCTGTGACTTATTCAAGATCTTGCTATTTATCACTTCTGAACTGGTTAACTTTCTACTTGGGTCTATAACTTAACCATAGGGACACAAATTGCTAAGGTATTAGATGTATGTAAGAAGCTACTCATGTGAACTTGATGTTTAATAATGCCTTTCTTTTGTTCAGTGTATCAGATCATGCTACATCCTTGCATAAACGATTACACTGCAATCGCTTCTGGCTTTACTGCCCATTGAGCAGAACGCTTCGTGGTTACAGCATGACATGAGAGCAATACAATTCTGAACCATGCCCTAAATTTCCTCCAGTTCATCACAATTCTTCCATATTTTTTCTCTTTGTTATTACTGTGAAGCAAACCAGTGTTTCCTTCTGGTTTCAGAACATGTAATAGAGAAGGGCTAAACCCACAAAGTTTGACACCAGATTTGCGTTCCCTAAAGAACAAAGAGATTCAGATTAGTGCCTTGGGTAACCCCTCTCTAATGTGCGTCAGCTGATTGCTGAAGTCAGTGCTAATGTGAATGTTGATACCCTGAAGCAAAATGGTTTTCCCCTGCCATTTGCAGTCATTTTTAGCAAAGATGTCCATAGCTTCAAGTTTACCGAGTTCATTTAAATGGACTTATATCAAGTCCGGTCTGTAATTTGCAATGTAGCCTCTGAACTACCAGTTAAAAAAAGCTCTGTTACTCAGCCAGTGTTCAAATTGCACAGGAAGAAGCGTGTAGACACCACATGTTTAAAGGTTACCATCACTTCCCTTTATATGTAGGCCTCTCATGTTAATAATTTTGTTTATAGTTGCATAACCACTTCTGTCATACCACAAACAGTATTTGGTTCACAAATTACTTATTTTTAGCTGTCTTATTTTTTCTTTTGCGTATTTTGGATATTCTTGGATTGCTAATTATATCATTCTGATATTAATTGAATGGTGAACTATTAGTGATTCTAGTTGGAAGTTTGACTGTGAAGGTTGCAACTGTTGCTTGGGCTGTGAACTTAATTATATAGATGTGAACATGATAGTCATACATACACAGTATACTTTTATTTTCCTGTTACTACCTGTGTATAAATAATCAAATGTAATCAGTTGGTTAATTAAAAAACTGAAAAACATTTGTCTTGTTTAAATATATATATAATTATATATCTATATATTTAATGTAATACTAATATAATAAGTATTAATATAATTTAATATAATAAATTATATATAATGATATAAAATTTTATATATATATATATAAAAGAAATACTGTTTTTAACATAAAACTTCACCTATTACTTTAGAGCTCCTTACAGGGGCAGTAGCTCAGTACTGTAACTCAGTATGCTCACTGGATTTGAAAGGTGGGGAAACATATAGTTAAGGATAATTTCTCTCTTAAGCTAATTTACTGGCTTACCGTTCAAGTGAAAGACAATAGATTCAAGCTGTCATATAAGGATAATTGCCTATGGGAAATGGCTTTGTAAGACAGAAAAGGTGATTTTCTACAGCTTAGTTTGCAGTTAATGCAAAGCAATTCTTTTTATTTTTCTTCTCTATATTAGTAACTGCTGCCCTCCTTAAAAAAAAAAAAAAATAAAAAATCTGTGTTTATGCCCAGACAGAATTAGATTTCTGCAATTTGGACTTCCTGTACTTGACTTCCAGAGAACTTAATAATATCCTGTTTCTCAATGCAACCATGTTCTCTTAGCATTGTTTCTTGAGGAGGAGAAAAATGCTTCTCGTTTTCTGGTGAAATATACTACCAGAAATCTTCCCAGCAGCTCCAATGTAATATTGCATACTGCACAAAGCTTTTAAATCCCATTCTAGTCATTATGTCCAGTAGTAAAATTTTACTGAGCTTACAGAAGTGATGTAGGTCTAGTTTCTGTTTTGTTTTTCTCCATTATTTTTTTCCATTTTGTTGTTCTCCACTAATTTTTTCCATTTTCTTCTTTCCTTGATTTCTGTGTTTCAGCTGTTTAGCAGCTAATTTGTTTTTTCAGTACGTATGGATGAGGTTCATGGAAAGGAAGAGTTTCACTTACATCACTTGTTGTAATTTCTAATAATTAAAAATGGGTGAATGTTCATATAATCCACTAAATGTCTCCATTCTCTCATTGGACAGCCTTTGAGTTTGTTTACATTATGAGTTAGAGATTTGTTTTTCAAAATGTTTATTTTTTAATTACTGGCATTTGCCTTCAAAGAGTGAAAAGCACTTGTTCTGCTAAAATTAGTGGCTAAATTTGGGGTTTCATCATGGAATATTTATGTTTAGTAATAGAAGCCATGATTTGGCATTTTGAGCCTTTCTATGGAGCATTGTCCATGTAAGATACACATGAACTCTTTTCAGCTACTACAATTATTTACTCATCACTGTTTGTAGCACTATCAGCTTTATGCTAGATAATATCACCTTTTTATTAGAGGACTATCAGAAATAGCCTTTTCCCTTTCAATATTAGAATCGAATCTCATGTGTCTATCTGCTTTATTTTGTTTGACTATGATTCATAGTCACAGATGGAATTCGTTGGACTGTCGTAAACTAATGCCAAATTTCAGTTTATGTTATTGTGCCAGTTTATAAACTGTGGTATTTGAGAAACAGATGCATGGCCCGTTCAGCTGTTGGCAGTAACCTATGAATAAGGGCTGGATAGATAGCTGGCTTCAACTTGTCCAGCTAAATCTCTCTGTGAACATGAATGAATCAATAGTCAACTGGTGATTTGCCTCAGGAATTACTAAGTAATTGATGAACTTAGTACTTGGCTCATGGGAGCTGAAGGAAAGAAAGAGAGAGGTACTTTTGGGTGTTCCCCTTTGATCTTTACATAATCTTCAAGCCCTGTTTGGGTGCTCTAAGTCAAAACCAGTGGAAAAAGCTTATATAACAGTCTTGCAGATACTTCAAAGGCTTCTGCCTTCTTTATGTAAGAAACAGTAAGCACTGAGAAACCTTCCAGCTTCAACCATTTAGCCATGTTAATTCAGCCTTGACAGTAAATGTTTGTGAGCAAGTAAGAATGTGGGCATCTGAAATTCTAACTTTTCCAGTTTTACAGAGAAATGGACTAATTGAGAAGGGGCAATTTTCCAAACCAAGCCATCCCAGGGGAAAGTTGTATTTCTTGAATCTGTTTTGCCATTATTTGAGTTAGACAGAAATACAATTTGGATTTCCTCAGTTACTTTGTCTGGTGGCTAGACCAAGACTCTTCCAGATCAGCTGAAGGCTTACTTAACAATTAAGTAATACGGTTCCACCTCCACATTCAGCAAGGTTCAACTTGTACACATCCAAGTAACAATTCAGAATTTCATGTCGAGCCTAATGTCCTACAACATGTCACAATGCAAAAAATTGTCCTTCTACATTTTAAACTATTGCTATTTAGACTATTACAATGGATATTTCCTGGAGCAAGCCCCAGTTCTCTGAGAGACACTTTAGATTTTGCCATTGTACATTGATTTGAGTTATTATTTTTACAGCAGAATATAGTTGGCATTTGAAGCCTGATTTGTATGCCATTTATCCTAAACAGTTTTATATAATACTTAGTTAAATAAGTGTAAGAGAATAATTATGACAGCAACTGCTGTAAAAAAATCGGAAAACTGACTGAAAAAAAAAAAGGCACAAAAGGAGAAGGCATCAAGTTGTAGCAGTCTGTAGGGAATGTAGAGAATATAAGTGAATTTGTAAGGCTCTGTAGGCAGCTGGTTTTTAAGGATACACTTGGATATGGCACGTTTCCTAAGGAGCAAGACATACAGTGAGCAGGGTGTTTGATATCACTGAAGTGAGCATCACTGCAACACCATGTTGCAAGCTAAAAAAGTAACTTACGATCATCAGAATATTTTATATACTATGCCAAATTTGATTATTTTAATATAATGAGGAAGTGGACAGTGAATTAATTTCTAAACATACGTGGTGGGAACTTCACATTTGAAAAAAAAAATTAATTTCCATTTTTTATATGCGGTCAAGCTATTTGCATACTATAAAAAAGAAGTTTACAAAGCCCGATTCATTGATTTGTTTCCATCCTTATCAGCCTGCTTCTTGCTTGCTATTTGCATATCTTCATGTGGCTAGCTTTGGCTTGTTATCAGTATTTGAGCAGTAGCTGAATATCATCTGAAAGTCTTCATTCACATAAGGACTATCTGCAAAAGAGTAGAATAATTCAGTTTTGTCATGCGTTATTATATTTCTATTTAAGAGGTTTCTTAATGACTGTGATGTACATTTTCACTTAGCGTAAACAATGATTGTCAGCAATATGCAAATCACAGGCTGAAATTTTAAAATTCCTGGTGAGCAAAAGAAAACATTTTATTTTGACTCTGCTTGATTTTTTTTTCTTTTACTTTTTTTCATAACTGTATGTTAAAACATTGCAAGTAATATAATATATTAAAATTAATATGAATATTTAAGAGAATCCAATTGTTAGAATCGAAATAACATAATTCTTAAAACTTAGTCAGATAAATTTGGTTTTTACGTCTAGTAAGCCCACTTGTTGTATGGGTTTCTTTCAGAAATGGTTTCTTTTAGAGTAGACAATCCTTTCTGATGGTAAATTGTTTGCAAATAGTTCTACTTAGAAATAAAAAAGTAGTCCTGAGAAACTCTGTATTTTATTGTGAACAACTAGTTTAAGTAGTTGTTCCTTAGAATAACTCTGTATCATTATGCTTGCATTGACAGATTTGCTGAAGCTAAATACCTTGGAGAAAAGTTAAATGAAGTGAGAAATAAAATAAGTGAGTACATTTTAGCTTCATTTTACCTTTTAGCTGATGAAATCACAGTATTCAGAGGATATGGGAAGATGTTCTAATTTTTAAAGTTTCTGAAGTCAATGCATTACTAAGATTTCCAATAAGGTAAATTGTTATCTGATGACAGCAGCAATAATTTTATGTACAAGCTTTGATTATTTCAAATACCATAATGTGAAAAATGGCTCCCTTCTTTACTTGACAGGATGTCTGAAATGTATCAAAAGGAAGAGTTAAGGTATTAACATTGGGTTTTCTGGTTTTCATTTTGGAATAAAAGGATCCAAAACCATAATTTCAAATTGTGATATCTGTGGATTAAGGATTGTATTTATCTATAAATTTACATAGCTTCTGATAAAAGAAGTTTTCATTGTTGAATTTCCCCTCTGCACTTCCTTTGTACAGATTAATTGGAGCAATTTTGAGGTGTGCCTCAGCTTGGTTGGGGGGTTTGTCATTTTTTGCTTTGAGGCCCCAACAGCATATGCTTGGCTCCAGTTTCAGATTGTTCAAAGCAAAAATCACCTGTAGATACATTCAACCACAAACTGGATCTTACTCAATCCTCCTAGCAGCCCTTGATTTCTGAGTTCAGTTGATCCCAAGCCTGTAGTTTCTTTCCTAAAAATTGGGTATCCAAGCTCTCTGTTGGATGAGAAACACAGCTGAAGTCCTTGGAGATCAGGTCCATGTCCTCCTATATGCACACATTCGGATGAACCAAGTCTCTTCCATCTTCCAGATACAGGCTGTGAGGGACCAGATTTAAAGGTAATGTAGCATCTAGGTTCAGTTTCTGTCTCCTTCCTCTGGATGGCACCAGCACAAACATAAATGGTGAAGTCATTATCACCACTTCTTGTCTTGTAACAGTAGTTGAGTTCTGGGAAAGGACAAAAATTTCACGGCAGTACTGACAAGTGCTCTCTACTTTCACCAGAGCCATGATTATATTCTCTGTGGTCGTGAAGGGAAGCTACTGCCAGATTCCCCTCCCAGTCACCTATGGGTACACCACAAGTCCCTCAGAGATATTATGCAGTATATTTAAAGTTATGTCAGCTATGAGGAAAGCCTCAGCCATGTTGGTTGGCACTGTGTTTTCAAACCACAGCACGAAGGATGTTTGGAAGATATCCAGAATCAGAGACATCAAGTGCTGAGCCCTACTGCTGCAGTGTTCTGAACACTCAGTTATTTCTAGAAGACATGATACTTGAATCAACCTGCGTTCTCTCAGTAGGCTCATTTGTCTCCTTCAGACTGGGCAGAGCATAAATCTCAGTACAGAGCTTGTGCATGGGTATCCACAGATTGGCCCATGTGAGTAGGATTTCAATATCTACCTTGCAAATATGAGTCTCTCTGGTGTCCATACAAGCTCACTTAAATTCTGCCAAGGTGGCTTTTTCTCCTGGTAAACTTGGAAAAGCAGGTTGAATATACTATGGAGGACAATGCATGTTATTCTCCAGGTAACAGGAGGCATCTCCAAAGTGAACAATGCCTGCAGCTTTTGGGCAACTCTCTGCACAAGTGTGACCATGAGCTATCACATCAGGATATGACCTCTTTTTCTCTGCTGCCATCTTGAAGTCCATGTTGCCCTGATTTACTTCTGTCTCCCAGATTTACTCCTCTGTGATAAGCCAAAGAGATTTCTTGGCCTAAATGAGGTAGAGCCAAAGTCAGCACTGAGTCCCAAACTTCTTTCACTTGCTGAAGTTGAAATCCATTTTGGAGCAGGCATAGTGATCATCAGCAATAAGCAGCCACACACAAGCACATCTTTCGCAGTGCCTGGGGTGCAACTGCTCCTTGAAGACAGAAGCCTAGCAGCCACCTTACATGCACCTTATATATATTCCAAGTGTCTGAGGGGGAGAACATCTGTTTGGAGGGTGTGGGAGACAGTACAAGAAATGGTGGGACACACGCCAGTCCTGAAGGTACCACTTGTAGTGTTACACTGGGACAAGACTTGTGTGGTCTGTAAGTCCTTTGAGACTTGCAGGAGTCTGCTGTGGCAGCTCTCAGAAATAATGTAACAAAACAATGTAGATGGAGCCTCTCAAGACTGTTGCCATGGATCCCAGCAAAATCTAAAAGAAATCCTTGGTTTGGACTGAATTGCTGCGGGTTTTTCCCCAGCAAGTTAGGCAAAACTTCTGATAGCTATAATGCAGCAGAGTATGGATTTTGCTGCAATTAAAAGCATCTGTTTTAAAATTTGTTTTTCATTAAGTTCTTCAGTGTTAGAAGTGAAACAGTGTAGTCTATTTGGGGAATATGAATGACATAAAAATCTGAGTACATATTCATATCTATATGTAACCTAAAAAACCAAACTGATTCCTTGAACAAAACAAGCAGCTGTAGTATTGTGTTGAACTTGACAATGCTTATATGCATCTTTCAGGAAATTGTAATAGCTTGTAGTCCACCTGAATATTAAAAAACTCCTTTAAGTATCAAACTAGAAACGTCTCCATAATTCTAAGAAAAAATGCACAAAATCATACATTTTGTTTTTGGTTTGGTATATAAAGTGAGTTACGAGTGTTTTCAAATTGAAAATTAATTTTGTTACTCCCCATTTTTTTGTTTTGGTAGTAAAATGGAAAAATAGTCTTTTAATTTAGTTCATACTGTAATCCTACTGTATAAGCAAGAGATTTCATCCATGTTCTATCCTTTTATAGCTTTCCATATGCTGATCTATGCAGATTATGCAGATGTAAACTACTTTGTGGATGGTTTTTAAACACTGATGTCTGGGGCTTGAGACTGATCATATTTTATAGTCCTTCCATTAATTCTTTCTGTGTAACTTTATGCAGCATGTGAAAATTAGCACTCAGGTTAATATAAATACTATTTTATATTAATTTGTCCTTTTCTCCTATCCAGCCTTATTTTGATCATAGTTGTTAATAAATCTATCTATTAGCACTTCTCTAACAATTATTAAATCTTTGCATCCAGTATGACACTTTCTAGCTTGTTCAGCTTTGCCAGTGCAATTGCACTAGTTTATATAGTTTAGCAGCCTGAAACAATTTTTCAGTTAAGTCTGTCTCGTCATAGCATAGATGCTCAGAAGACCATTAAAGATGCTAAGTAAAGTTACTGACCTGCCAAATTTTTACTGAAAATGTGGTAGGAGAAATAAGAGTCATCTGCGGCCTGCAACTAGATCTTTAATTTACTTTTATTGTTGTTTCGGTTTCCCTAAGCATTCCTGGCTGCCTTGTTGTGCACAATCAAGAACAGATCCCATCAATATCAGTTTCTGTTATTTCTAAGCTCCACTTAATAGTATAAAACTATGCACCACAGAGCCCATTTCATGCAGTCTGATTATATTTTGAGATAGTGACAGCAGTTGGCTGTAACTTTTATGTCATAAATACTCTTTTATTCTGACCTTGGAAATATTAGTGTTTTGCAGTAAAAAGTACACAAAATACTCCAAGCACTTCTCAATTACACTAGAATTTCAAAAACATCAGGAAGTTAGGACTGGAAAAAGAAATTTGCAGTAGGGTTTTCTTGGTAGGCTTTTGCTGGTGTTATTGCGTGCGTAAAAAGATTAAAGAAAACAACGTCTAGATGTATGATGGAGCTTGTGTGGAGTGACTGTAATATCAGAAAAGAGGCACTGTGGCTAGCGTAGCTCTTTGCTACTCTATCACATATTCCTGGATTCCCTCTATTTTTATGTTTAATAGCCCTGCAGAGAATGCCAAGATTTTAAAATTATTTTTATGGAAAATGATAAGTATGTCTTGGATTTTACATAATGCTTACTTTTCACAATGACCTCCTAGAAATAAGAAGGTGGCTTTTATTGCTGGATGAAAATTGTCTTTTTCTGCTGCTTAAAAAAAAAAAAGAAGAATAGGGAAAAGTTTCTAAGTCGGGTTATTTTAGTGATCCTGTTTACTGCATTATCACACAAACTTCTGTATAGGTACAAATAAAGGAGCATTGGGCTTTGATGCAAGCATTGAGGGGCACTTCTTTTTGAAAGTCAATATACTGCATAAATATAAATAAATCAAAAGGTAGAGAAAGTATGGCTTTTGAACATATAGATGTGTCTAGATTGGTTTGAGTGAACTATTCAGAATTGTTTACGTATGACTGGAGAATGTACCCAAGGACTGGACTTTGAACGACAAATACAGAAAGCCAACATGAGTAAAACTGGAAAAAAATAACTGCAAGGTCAGGGAACTAATAAGAACTCTGTAACCAGCGTAGGAGAAGTGGAAAGTGGGCCAGCACTGACATACAAGTAAATTTTCGCCTTTCTAGTCCAACATTAAAAGCCTTAAAGACATGTATTTCACTAGCTTAAAAAAAAAAAAAAAGTTTTATTTTCTTGTGGAAAAAACAAGCTGTGCCTCTGCAAGTGTTTTTGTATTGCACCATTTCCAAAGACTTAGGGTCTCTAACAAGAACTATAGACCCTTTTGGTATTACTGAAAAAGTCTTGGTGAAGAAAAATTGAATCTGAAGCCAAGGATTTTATTTCAGAATTTCTTCATGCAAAAAATTGAGTGCTTGTGTCTAGCACATTCTGATGGGTCAGCCTTGGCTGGCTGTAAGGTGCCTACCCAGCTGCTCTATCTCTCCCCTTCCTCAGCAAGTCAGGTTGAGAAAGTAAGAACAAAAAGCTCATGGTTTGAAAGATGGGGAGAACACTTACCATTGCAGGCAAAACAGACTCAAGTTGAAGTAAATTCATTTAATTTATTGCGTATTAAAAGAGAGCTGGAGAAACAAAGATAAAACCTCTGAAGTCGAAACTTCTCTCCTTATCAGGATTAGTGGGAGTCTTATTTCTAGGACACTGTTATCAACAAGGTGGTTTTACACCATCATTAAGAACATTCTGTGTGAAAGGATTCTGGTAGTAAGAAGTCTACATCTGAACAAACTGCAAAGCATTAAATAACAACAAAAAGGCTCAA